TGGTTCAGCAGGGGAACCAGACTGCTCTCGGGAGGCTCAAGCAGTGCCAGAGAACTGCAGAACAGACAGGGGAAATTACAAATGGGAAAAGTCCATGCTAAAAGTGGGTTCTGCATTTAAAATGAGAGCTAATCATCTCATAGGCATGGCCAGGCCTCTTTACAGTGAAAACTTCCTCCAGCACTCCTCGAAACACCATCCTTCACAGACCGAACGCGAAAAGGGACAACAGCTGAACGAACCGTAACAAGCTCCTTCATTTGCATAGGGCATCTGCTCTGCCTCTGAAGAGCCTGCAACATGTACAGTGTATAACGGAGCTAGCGCTCAGTAACCACTCTCTGTAAAAACACGCATATACAAAAGACAACATACACAGTAGCAACTTCAGAAGTCGTGCTGCCAGGAGCAGCCAGCTCCTGGGGCAGGGAGGGGTGCTGGCAGGACTACCGGGCATATGCATTAAATCCTGGCACATGGTGTGGGCAAGGTGGCACACAGCCTTCTCCTGACACTGGGAGGAGAGATGGGGCCCACCTAGCCAGCACAGATGGTCACTGCTGCATGGATAACATCCACTGCACATTTCTCATGTGCTGTGGGTTTCTGCACTTTGCCAATGCAGTCCTAGCAAGTACCAGTAATGCGTGGCACACCTGAGGGAAGCTCACTCTTTAGTGTAACCCACAGGATGTGGACACAGCTCAACACCTCCCCTCTCAATCCACAGCTCATGTCATCACGCCTGTACGTGCTGGATGTGTGTTCTTCATTAGCTGCACTAGCATACAGTGCATCCATCATCTCTGCTGAAGACGGAGGGAAGGTGGTATCAAACAGGAGGGAGGCAGTTACTACTTACCTTGCTCATAGCTATCCCTGAAGGTGTGAATGCCTCTATCCCATTCCCTCCCAGTGCAGCACTGAACAAGTGAGCTTAACTCACACAGTTTTCTGACCTCATCACAGTTTTCCAGTACTTACAGTGGGGCTACAAAGGATAGAGGCTCTCTCTTCACAAGAAGCCACATGAAGAAGACAAGGGGCAATGGGTACAAGTTGCACTGGGAGAGGTTTCATCTCAATATAATAAAAAAATTTTTTACAGCCAAACAATCAATCACCTCCTCAGGGACGTGGCAGAGTGCCCATCACTGGAGGTTTTCAAGATGCAGCTGGACAAGGTGCTAGATAATCTCATCTAGGCTCACTTTCCCATGAAAGGTTGGACCAGACGATCTGAGGTCGTGTCCAAGCTGGGCTGTTCTATGGTTCTGTGATTCTAACTTACTGATAGTTTGTGTCAAAACAAGGTGGAGGAGAAGCTCACATGGGCAGGCACCAGTCTTGGAGAACGCAACTGAAATCCACCACCAGTAAGAGCTACCTTTACCTCGCTCAGTGCACTTGGCTTCCCTTCCACACTGTGCTATGGGAGTCACTAGTACGTTATACCAACTTGATTAACTTTGCACTGGAGAAGAGGAGAAGAGGAGAAGAGGCAGCTTTACACCTAACTCAGAGCTGGATGTGAGTAAAATAGCACCAATCAGAGATACTGCACAGGCTGCCACCATCTTCCTCAGGCAAGCACCTAAGACTTGAGCACCCTCTTCCCCATACATATACATACCACCTCAGAGATGACTGTGCCCAAGACAGAGCAGAAAGCCTTATGCAACAGCTAAGCACAGAGGTGTTTTACGAGACCACTTATTAAGTAAGACAGTAAGCGTCTGCAAGCATCTTTCCAGTTCTTTTCTGCGCAGAGGTGAATAAGTGAACCTCAACCATCACTGAAACAACTATTTGATTTTGCAAAATCAGGACCTCCGGTCACTTATGCAAAGTGTTTAAGAATAGATTTAAGCATATGAAGAAGTCACCTTTCAGCCACTAACTACTGTCTCTCAGAGACACAGAGTGACTCAGTGGATATTTCTGACCCCCAACATCTGGAATACAGCCCTTGCCCGCCTTTACACACAGGACATGACACTGCACGTTCATTGTGAGACAGCAGCTCTGATGATGGCTGCCTTAATTAATCTGGGCTAGGCACACAGAAAGAACATTTTCTTGTGAATATGATATATATATATATTAGGGTTCTAGTGTGTTTTCAATAGCCAGTTTTAAAAATTGTTTGTATGTGCAGCATGTGTACTTCAACATGCAAATTCCCACTAACAGTCTTTCAGAGGAAGATTCAAAAAACTCCTCTCATCCATAAATATTTAAACATACTTATGCTTTCAAGTATGTGAAGATGTGTCTTTTAAGCACTAACATGAAGGGATGCATGAACAGAACCTGTCACAAACAAACAATGCTGACAGCAGCTGGTAGTCCAAGGTCTAATCCACAAATTGCTATTTGGAATACTGCAGCATCAATAGATATAAGCACGAAATGTAGGTAATGTTCATTGACATTATATAGCTCTTGAATTGTGCTTAGTTTATACCTATAATTTAACAATGGGGTAGATGATAGAAATAAATCAGGGTGCTACAATATAAGCAATAAGATAACCTAGTGTATGTTGCTTAACTATTTTTCAGGTATTGCTTTACATTTAATTCCTCCAGGACTAAATTCACTCTTTCTTTTTTCCTCAGATAAAGCTGTCTAGTAGAAGAAAAAAATGCACATATATTCTGCAGACAAAAGATGAGAGATGTGGATTACCTGATCTGCAATAGGGCTTTCTTGGTTTTTTTTTTTTTGTGTGTTTTTTTTTTCTTTTTTTAGCTCTCTTTTGTTTGTTATTAGTTATTTCAGCTATTAAGAAAAAAATATACCTAATTGTCATGTTTCTGACTATAAAGCTTTTACAATAACAAAGATAAATTATGCTTAGCTCGAATTTCATTTAGTACATAAAGATCAGTTGTTTACCAGTATTTCCCTAAGAATCATCTTCGATATTTTCCTTCTTTTTAATTGGTTATTCAGAAGGTACTGCCTATACCCTGTCATTATGTTAAATTAATGAGTGTCCTGATTTTAATCAGTGTTCCTGTTTTAATCACAGAAGTTATCAGATCTCACTAAACTAAAAGAAAACATATTTCCTATTTTGCCATGGAAAGATAATAAAACTGATACAAGTGTATGGTGCAGACCATGTTCTTTGATGTTGTCGTGTTTGTCTGTGGTCCTCTTTAGTCACAGCTCTGAATTGCACCACTTTAGACAGCAGGACACAAAAATATATAATCTATCAATATGCCATCCTACAGCAACTCCTTTCTATTATTAAAATGCTGTGTTGTTATAGAGACTGAAGATTATTATTTGATTAGAAAAAATATCACACCGCATCAAAGTCTGTTGATGATACACAATGCTGAAATGTATTTTCTCCAATTATGTTTGTTAAATTACACTGACTTTATTATACTTGTGAATCATAGACAAATATTCTCTTGCTAACAGTAAATATCCAGTCTCTGATCTCACAAATTCAGCATGTGTTTGTACATAGGTAGCAAGAATGTACTGTTAGTCATTGGAAAGGAGAGCTGGC